TGGAACCCTTGAAATTGTCAGAATTATAGGCTGTTAGCCATGGGTAGAACCAAAGAGTTCACCTACTGAGAGTGGTTGTGATCTGCCCAAAATAATAAAATTAGTGTGACCGTGTTTGGGTTTTTCAAATAGATGCCATGCTGAGACTTAGGTGGTAACAAGGATAGACCAGGAAGGACCAGGACTAGGTGTGCAGCTAGGCTAGAGGTGGGTTAGCAGGTATGGTAAGTAGTTAAATCTTGAGAAATCAGCAAGGTCAAGGAGGAACAGACAGATGATGAAGGTCTAGACACATAAGGGGCCAAGTCTAGAACTATCATTTCATGAGAGCAGATAATGTGTAGCTCAGGCAGTAGGAATTAAACCAAGCTGGAGGAGAAAAAGATACTAAGACTCGGAGCAGAGAGGCTGGATGAGAAGAGGCTAGAATCTAGGCTTAAGCATTCAACAAGCATTTATTCAGCACCTGCTCTGCACCAGGCACTGTTCAAAGCGCTAGGTGTGCAAAGAAAAGGGGGAAAAAAAGACTCAGCCCCTGACTTCAAGGAATTCGAATTCTTGTGAAGGAGACAGCATGCAAACAACCAAGTAAATGAGAGGTAATATATCAGAGGGAAGGGAGTGAGGGAGGAGGCTTGGAAAGGCTTCCTGCAGAAGGTGGAATTTGAGCTGAGTCTTGAAAGCCAGGGGAGCCACGAAGCAGAGGTGAGGACTAAGAGCGTTCCAGGCATAGATAGAAGACAGCCAGTGAAAAAGCTCAGAGTTAGGGGAACAGTGTCCTATTTGAGGAATAGTAAGAGGCCAGTGTGTTAAGGTGGAGAGAAATAAATATATGAGAAAACTGGAAAAGTAGGAAAGGGCCAGGTTATGAAGAATTTTAGAAGCCAAACAGTATTTTATATCTGGGAGGTTTGTAATAGGAAGCCACTGGAATTTATTGAATAAGGGGATGATTTGGTCGGAACTGTGTTTTAAGATCACTGTGGGGAGAAACTTGAGGCAGGGAGACTATCAGAAGACTGTAGGCTTCAGTGTAGGTGTGAGGTGATTAAGGACCTGACCCTGGGCCTCACAGATGGCTCTGTGATTTGAGATAAAGGGAAGTATTCGAGATATCTCCTAAAGATAAAAATGACAAGATTTAGCAAAAGTGGAGTGAGTGAGAATGACAGTTGAAGGCAACAGTGAGGTGGTAATGGTGGTGCTCTTTATAGTAGTCAGGAAATTGAAAACCAGAGGAGGGTTTTAGGGGGAAAGAAAATGAGTTCTGGATTTTGGATAACCAGTCCTGTTTGTTGAGTTTGAGCAAACAGTGTTAGGCACATGGTCATAGCAAGACTAGAACCTAATAGGCAGATGTCTCCATCAGCGGTTTACTTATGTATTTTCTTTCAGTAGGTAGACCCTTTTTTATAGAATAGGTCAAAGACATGGAGATAGGGGAAATTATTTCAGTGTGTGAGAAACAGCAGGTAAGCCAGTATGGTTGTACTGTAGCATACATGGACTGGAACCCTGGAAAGATAAGAAGGAGCCAGGTTGTCAAGAATAAATGCCAATTAGAGGAATTTGTATTTGATCCTAGAAATAAGTAAACTGGAGTTTATTGAGTAGGGAGTAACCTGAAGTTTTAAAAAATCATTTTGGCAGTTGTGTGGAGAATTTGTAGCTAGGAGATTAATTTTGTCACTAACTAGCAAAGTGACATTGGCAGATTACCTTACCTCTTTGGTCCTCTGTTTTCTCATATTTAAACTGAGGGCTTTAAGATCCTTTTCAGCTCTGAAAATTGAGAATTCTATGAGTTGAGGAGTGCTCTAAAGCCTGATACGGGTCATTTAATGTTGGCCCAAGATTTAGGATCAAGACCAAAAGTGATAAGATGTTATTGAACTTACATTCTCATCATCCATCTAAGCATTAAAAATTAGAGAATTGTGAATTGTAGTAATATATTTTTTAAAAAATTGGAATTCAGTGTTTTGGGTAGTGGGCTCACAAGGCAGTATACTGTGTGAGGAGTGAGGAGTGGGTCATTCCTCTTTTGCGTGTTAATGTCTCTGCCTGTTATTTGAAAAGGTCTGTGCCAGCCCTTGGCATATTGCTTTTTTTTGTTGTTGATTTTGCTGGTTTTATTCTTACCTTGGTCACTTTCTGAAATAGCTGACACAGAGACTGTGAGCAACAGCTGTTCTTCAGATAGCAAGGTTGGATTTGTCAGCTTTGTCTTGGATGCTTTTTCTCAGCCCAGGAGGCATTTAAGTAGGGAATAAAAGGGAAGATTCTTTGAGTAACTATATGGACCAATGTCAAAATTGAGGGTTTTCTTCGAAAGTAAACTGGCTTTTAACATTTTTAGTTCATAGTTGTGTTAAGAATTAAGTCATGTATTTGATAGTGAGTATTAAATGTGTGAAATTAAGATAATGTCTTTTAATATGGATTACAGTAAGAATTTGGAGTTAAGGATGGGAGGGTGGGGTGGGGAGTCAATGTGAACTTTGTAACCAAGGGAGGCAAAAGAGATCTATCTGGAAGGATCAGAAAAGAACCTAAGTCTTTCCATATCACCACTGCCATAAAAAATGCAGCAAAATGTTTCACCATTTGTTGGAGGTCACTTTTTACTAATGAATAAAATATCTGCTGTAATTTTTGGAGGGATAATTGAATAACTTTTATTCAATTCACTGTTGATCATCCATGACACTGTTTTGTATCCTGTATCAGCATCTTCTCATTGCTTATCATGCTTCTTGTGTGTTCTATCTAGTATGTTCAGAGATGAGTTGTCATTTTAATTCGCTTTAAACAAAACATAAATATGAAGGTAAATTTGCTGCCAAATATTCATAACGTATTCCCCTATCAAAAAGACTGGAGAGTGTATTGAGAGACCTGCATTCCAGTTCTGGTTTTGCCACAATGTATTTATGTAACCCAGGGCGAATCACTTTACTTTGCTTGGCCTCCATTTGCTCATCTGCTAAATGAGGGACTGGATTAAGTAATTAGTAGGATGTATCCCAGTTTTTAAATGATGTATTCCAGAAAAAAAGTCTTGAGACTCTAGAAATGCTATTTTCTTTTAGATTTTAAAAATCTGTTTAATTATTTTGTGCAGTACAAACTCTTAAAAAATATTATTTCTCTCTAATAAAATAGAAATAAACTTAAAAGCCAGACCAAAAAATGGATACACAATATAACTACCATTTAATTTTAGGTTTCCTTATGGAGATTGAATACAAAGGTGCCGTAGGTGACTACAATAGACTTTAAAAAAAAAATTTAAGTAAAGAAGTTAGCTTAGACAAGTATAGGTAGATTGCTTTGTACTTAGGGAATGATATTCATTTCACTTAAATCAACACTAAAGTTGCACAGCCATAGGTGTTAAGATTCAAAGGCAAAACAAAAGTCTCTGCCTTCAAGGAGCTTCCATTCTACTGGAAGAGCTTATCAAGAAAAGTTTTGAAGAGATTCTTTGTTAAAAATGAATTGCTTATATAAGAATTTCACCTTCAGAGCTCCTAACTAGATCTTTTAAAATTATTTTTTATAATATGAAAATAGTTCATTTTTTTGTCTATATATTCCCAGCACCTACTGCAGTCCCTGGCACATAGTAATAAATGCTTATCAATTTATTAACCAAGGAAAACACTTAACCCAAGATAAAGTACTCAAAAAAGTATTGCCATAGTGTTGCAGTAGGCCTTGGTATTTGGAGTTGATTAGATTTCAAGATCTGAGAAAGAAAAATCATGGTATTGAGATCCCCAAAGGAAAATTCCTAGAAATATTGTAGCCAAATTCCAGAGTTCCCTGGTCAAGGAGAAAATATTACAAGCTGCCAGAAAGAAACAATTCAAGTACTGTGGAAACACAATCAGGATAACACAAGATTTAGCAGCTTCTACATTAAAGGACTGCAGGGCATGGAATATAATATTCCAGAGGCCAAAGGAGATAGGATTACAACCAAGAATCACCTACCCAGCAAAATCCCCTTGGGGAAAAAATGGTCATTCAGTGAAATAGAGGACTTTCAAGCATTCCTGATGAAAAGACCAGAGCTGAATAGAAAATTTGACTTTCAAATACAGGACTCAAGTGGAACATGAAGAGGTAAACAGGAAAGAGAAATCATAAAAGACTTATTAAGATTGAACTGTTTACATTCCTGCATGGAAAGATGATATTTATAACTCATGAGACCTTTGTCAGTATTAGGGTAGTTGGAAGAAAAAAATTATATGTATGTATAGATAGATAGATAGATAGATAGATAGATAGATAGATAGATAGATAGATAGATAGGGGGCACAGGGTGAGCTGAAGATTAAGGGGTCTTATCTGGAGAATAAAATTAAGGGATGAGGGAGGATTATATTCAGAGAAGAAGAAAGGGAGAGGTAGAATGGGGTAAATTATCTAAAAAAAAACAAAGCAGAAAAGAAAAGGCTCTTACAGTGGAGGGGAAATGGGGGCAAGTAAGAGGGAATGAGTGAATCTTATTCTCATAGGATTTGGCTTAAGGAGGGAATAATATACACATTCAGTTGGGTATGGAAATCTGTCTTACCTACAGGGAAATAGGAGAAGGGAACAAGAGAGCAGGGGGATGATAGAGAGGAGGGCAGATTGGGAAAGGGTGTAATCAGAAGTAAATACTTCTGAGGAGGGACAGAGTCAAAAGAAAGAATAGAATAAATGGGAGGGCAGGATAGGATTAAGGGAAATAGAGTTAGTTTTTCACAACATGTCTGCTATGGAAGTGTTTTGCATAACTGTGCATGTACAACCTATATTGAGTTGCTTGCCTTTTCAATGAGGGTGGGTGGGGAGGGAGGAAGAAAGAAAATCTGAAACCTAAAGTTTTAAAAACATATGTTTAAAAAAATGTTTTCACATGCTACTGGGAAGTAAGAAATACAGGAAATGGGGTACAGAAGTCTATCCTAGTCCCCGCAAGGCCCCGGCTTTCGGGGTCACCTTTCCGAGCCTTTGGCCTTCGCTGTTCCCTGCTGCGGGCCCAGGTTCACGCGACGCGGCCCTTTGCGAAAGCCAGCCACTATGTTACAGTACTTTATGAAAAATGTTTGGACTCCACTGAAGCCCTACTATACCAAGGTTTACCAGGAGATCTGGATAGGAATGGGTGTGATGGGGTACATTGTTTACAAAATCAGAAGTGCAGATAAAAAAAGCAAAGCTTTGAAAGGTTCAGATTCAGCTGCTTCTGCTCGTGGACATCATTAACTGTATTTACCTTAGGATTATGCATAATGTGAAACATCAGGCTGGCTGTAAATTTGGGCTTTTGACCATAGAAGAAAGAATGCAAGGATTCCCCATGTTAACTCTTAGGCTTTTGTTCATACAGTGAAATAAAGTCATATATATACAAGGAAAAAAAAAAAGTCTATCCTGCCCTACAGGAAAATAGAAGGGAAAGGGGATAAGAGAAGGGGGGGGGGATGAGATAGAAGAGAAGACAGACTAGGGGAAGGGATATTCAGAATGCATGCCATCTTGGGGTGGGGGGAGGGATGAGATGGGGTGAAAATTTGGAACTCAAAAACTTGTGGAAGTGAATGTTGAATACTAAAAATAAATAAATTTATATTAAAAAAAAAGAAAAATCATGGTGTCAAAGGAAAAAAAATGCGATTTGGAACTAGAAAGAATCCTAGAGATTATCTGGTCCAAGCCCACATTTTTTTAACAGATGAGGAAACTGAGGCCTAGAGAGGTTAAATGACTTGTCCGTAGTTACATAGGTAGCAAGTAGCAGAGCTAGAAGGTAATCCAGTGTCTTTTGACTCCAAATTTATTATACCACTCTGGCTCTTTTGGCTCAATAATAACAGCTGTCCTTAGAGGTAGTGAGCACCCTGTCACTGGAAGTATTCATGACCCCTATCAGAGAGGCTGGGGTAAGGGATCAGATGAGATAATTCCTACTTCTATTACACATGAATGTTTGCTAAGTGTTTTCCTTCCAACAAAACTGTAGTAAGTTGGACAGGTCTTTATTTCATAGAGGAGAAAACTAATGATTTGGAAGTGAAGTGAAGTGGCTTGCCCATAGTCAGAATATAAGAGCGAGAACTCAGACCCTGGTCTCTTGACTCCAAGATACAGACTCTTCTTATCCTGTTTTGATTCTTGTCCGGATTCTTCGATTATCTCCTCCCCCTTTCCACCTTTCCCTTTGCCCTGAGTATCCAGCCATTTTGAGAGCCCCAGTGGAGTGCTGAGGCCATCTTTCTTATCTGTCCTCAGTCATTCTACACAAGCAGCTTTCTTAATGCCATTTCTTGAGCATAGGGGAAAGAGTCTGTAACTTACTTATGCCCACCATGCATCTCTCTCTGTGCCTTTTTGGTCACCCAGTTTTAATTATCTGGAGATGATGGTGTTCCAGTATTCACATCAGGCAAGTATTCCGAGGAGAATATTTCTGTGGCTGCATTTATCAAAGAATATTGTATGACCTTAACATATGTATGAGAGACCGCTTGTTGGAGGAGTGTTCTGAAAAGTGCTCTATCAAGTCAGATGCTATTTTGCAACCAATAGACACACATGCCTGGAACTTTTAGTCAGTTGTGTGACTCTAAAGATGTAGTCTGCAGAAGAGAATTATTTGTGAAAGTCTACCTGTTCCCTTTTTATTTTCATCAAGTATGCCCTTGACATGTTTGTGCATTCTCAAAGATGAAAAAGTAGGGATATGAGTCTGTAGTTATTGATGTTTTCAGTTGCCTTTTGATTATTTTCGTAGTGTGTTTTTCCATTATTTTTATTATCTTCACCCTAAGATCATGTAAAGATTCCTTGGTATAGTATTTTAAAGATTGTCACCTCTATATACTTCCTTAGTATGTATGTATAAGAATGAATTTTGTTGAGCTTCTTTTTTTACTTTTTATTTATTTATTTTTAGTTTTCAACATCCACTTCCGCAAGATTTTGAGTTCCGAATTTTCTCTCCATCTCATCCTTCCCCCCACCCCAAAATGGCATGCATTCTGAATACCCCTTTCCCTAATCTGCCCTCTCTTCTATCTCTGCCCCTACTCCCCCATCTTCTTCCCCTTCAATTTTCTTGAATGGCAGGATAGATTTCTATACTCCATTGCCTGTATACCTTATTTCCCAGTTGCGTGTGAAAACAATTTTTTTTAAACATTTGTTTTTAAAACTTTGGGTTCCAAATTCTCCCTTTTTCCTTCCCCACCTACCCTCATTGAGAAGGCAAGCAATTAGATGCAAGTTATACATGTGTAGTCATGCAAAACACTTTCATAGTAGTCATACTGTGGAAAACTAACTATATTTCCCTTCATCCTATCCCACCCCCTATTAATTCTATTTTCTCTTTTGACCCTACCCTTCCTTAGAAGTGTTTGCTTCTGATTACCCCCTCCCCCAATCTGCCCTCCCCTCTATCATCCCCTTGCTCTCTTGTCCTCTTCCCCCAAGCCCCCATTGTCTTGTAGGGTAAGATAGATTTCCATAGATTCCATGTGTATGTTATTCCCTCCTTAAACCAAATCCGATGAGAATAAGATTCACTCATTCCCTTTCACCTTCCCCCCCTTCCCCTCCACTGTAAAGGCCTTTTCTTGTCTGTTTTATGTGAGATAATTTACCCCATTCTACCTCTCCCTTTCTCTTCCCAGTATAATCCTTTCTACCTCTTAATTTTATTCTTCAAATATCACCCATTTATCTTTAGCTCACCCTGTGCCCTCTATCTATCTGTCTCTATATATACACATACATATAATTTTTTTCCCTCCAACTACCCTAATACTGACAAAGGTCTCATGAGTTACAAATATCATCTTGCCATGCAGGAATGTAAGCAGTTCATCCTTAATAAGTCCCTTATGATTTCTTTTTCCTGTTTACCCCTTCATGTTTCTCTTGAGTCTTGTATTTGAAAGTCATATTTTCTGTTCAGCTCTGGTCTTTTCATCAAGAATGCTTGAAAGTCTTCTATTTCACTGAATGTCTGTTTTTTCCCTTGAAGGATTATACTCAGTTTTGCTGGGTAGGCAATTGTTGGCTGTAATACTGTCTCTTTTGCCCTTTGGAATATCATATTCCATGCCAAGCACTTTGCAAACTTTACAGAACTGTATAAAAGCTATTATTATTATTATTACCACCAGTCATATCATTTACTAAAGAATACTTCATATTATTTACTTTTCTTCATATGTGTCCTACTTCCTCAACTAGATTGTGAGCTTCCTGAGGACAATGATCATGTCAAGTACCTCCTGCTATCTCCACAGGCTTGCAATATCCAAAACACAGTAGGCCCTGGAAAAATTTCAATGTGTTTATACAAATTAGAAAGCTGTGTCAAAATATACTCCTCTTACAGAGCTGCATACATCCTCACTAGACATCTTTTTTAAAAAAGCTCAACAAGATGGTGGAGTAAAAGCAGTGACTTGCTTCAGCTCTCCCCCACGCCCCTCCAAAAACCTGTAAAAAAAAATGGTTCTAAACAAATCTAGAGTAGCAAAACCCACAAAAAGAGTTAAACAAATTTCCAGCCCAAGACAACCTGGATGGGTGATTAGAAAGGTCTATTGTGCCTGGCTGGGAGAAGAATGCAGTCTGGCATAGGCGCGCAGACAGGCCTCAGCAAACCTGGAGCAGGCCTCAGAGACAGAATCACTGGCAGCTGTGGCAGTTTCCAGACTTCTCAAACCACAAACACCAAAGACAACTTAGAAGGTCAGTAGGAAAAGAGCTCGGTCAGACCCCAGTCCTGGTGCAATGGGGCGATGGCTACTTCCGGAGCTTCTGGCCCATAGACTAATGGGGAATCGAGCGGCTGATCAGAGGGGGGATTGCAGGGATCTTTTGCTAGTGCTGAGGTAGGATTCTCTTGCTTTGCCTGTGCTTGGATCTAGGTCATAGTTCTGGATTGGCGATCCTAGGGTGAGGAGGAATACTGGCATGGAGGAGCTTGTAATGGCAGTGAAGAGGGAATCCTCCTCCCAATTCCATGGCAGAAAAGAGTGCTTGTGGTCACTCATAAACCAGAGCAAAGGCCAGGAAAGGAGCAGATGGCTCACCCTTGATCATACCACCTTGGGAGAACTGGTCCCCAGAAGTATCTCTGAAAACAGCTGTACAAAATCCCCGAAGCTTGGGACATTACATTCTCCACATTGGAAGCAGACTCCTACCTTGACAAAGAGTTTAAAACTCAAATAACTGGCTGGGATCGTGAGCAAACAAAGGCACAAAAACAGTCAGACCACAGAATCTTTCTTTGGTAACAAAGAAGATCAAAACATATAACCAGAAGAAGACAACAAAGTCAAAGCTCCTATACCCAAAGCCTCCAAGAAAAATATGAATGAGTCCCAGGCCATGGAAGAGCTCAAAAAGGATTTTGAGAAGCAAGTAGGAGAAGCAGAGGAAAAACTGGGAAAAAAATTAGAGTGATGCAAGAAAATCATGAAAAACTAGTAAACAGCTTGCTAACGGAGACCTTATGAGGAAGGTGTTTTTATTGTCCCTATTTTACAGATGAGGAAAACTGAGGCTCAGAAAAATTGACTTGTCCAGAGTCACATAACTAAATAAGTGTCTAAGATGGGGTACAGACAGAGCTATCAGATTCCAAGCCCTCTAAACACTGTACCACAGGGAATGGTACAGGACTTTAGAAGAAAGAGTGACCAATGATAGTTGAGGCAGTTTAAATACCCAAAAAGATAATCTTAAATTGGGGAAAGGGAGATCAAAGAAAGAATTGGATTGGATGGGAAGACAATAGATGATGGGACTATTCAACATTTATCTTCCTTGCCAAAGGGAATAATCTTTGGAATGGAAAGGACAGAATAAACATGACATACAGGCATTTGGAGAAACAGCCTGGCATACTGGATAAAAAGCTGGCTATTGGAGTTAGGAAGTCCTGAATTCAAGACCCAACCCTGACATTCTGGCTATATGACTCCTGGTAAGTCACCTGACTTCTCAGTTCCCCAAACAATTAAATTGGTAAGCAGTTGCTGATGTCATGGTTCTCTGTATAGGTTCCCAAAGTGGATGATACCACACCCGGGGGGTGCTGGAACTATCCTGGTGGGGCAGTAGTAGACTCAGGGTGTAATTGAGGGGTGTTGAATAAAAATAAGAGGGTGGTGGAAGCATAAGAAGAGAAGAAAATTTTGAAAAATCATTTGTCCATATTTCATCTGTTCTGTAACAGAGCTAAAGTCGTAGTGATTATATTATTTTCCAAATAAACATACAGAATGCAAGTTATAACTTATCAGTAGTCAAGTCCGCT